AAACAAATGTATAGGCAATGTTCAGGTGCATCCAATAAGGCACTTCCTTGTCGCGATCCTGTGCCGCTTGGCTGCTTGCAACGGTCGCGACACGGAATCGCACACTCGTGGACAGTGTACGCATATCGTCTTACTGTAGGAAAAATATTTAGGACTACTTATTTCCATATTTTAGAGGCTTTAATATTTATAAAGCGATGTAGATATCATTTGGAATAGTTTTATGGAGCAGTGCGTCAAAAAAAAATCAACAAAATATTTTTTGAAAGTCTGAAATTAAAATCAGGAAATAATGTGTGATAGAAATTATTTTATTTTAGCTTTTTCCTTTATTTTATGATCAACAACAATTATAAATAAAAAAATTGCTCAAACCAATACAAAACTTAAGTACAAATTCGATTTTGTGTCTAAACTGTATAAAAGTTTAGATACAAGATCAAATGATACAAATTTAAAACTAATGTAATTTTAAAATATAACGAGTATTTTACATATATACGAATCAATAAATTATATACACATATCTTTTCCTCTGAGCTGATAAGCTCAAAAATAAGAACGAATGTATCTTGAGAGGCAAAAGCGAAAGATTCTCTTCAAAGAGAAGACCATCTTAACGCTTTCACTGTTCGGTTTTCAGATACAATAGTAAGACTATTGCAATGAGTCATTGTTATTATAGCTCCCGTGCACTACATATAGGTCATTGCCAATGACCTATAATATGTAGTGCATGGGACAGCTAAAGGATTGAAATACGACACAGGCTAGCAAACCAGTCACCAATACACAAATACCTGAAACATTGAATAAACTTATGGAAGAAAATTTATCAAGCATTTGCTATGTGCAAATAACTGAAAAGGATTAACGAATTTATGTAAAAAAACAGCATGACATTTGGTCAGGTGTTCACTACATCTCATATTTTAACAAAGGTGTATGTTATATATTTTCAACCGATAGACGGGACAATCAATCGTAGTTCATTCTTTTTACCTAGCCAACAAGTCACATAATCCAGTGTGATATTAGACCACGAGTGGTCGTATTTGTGTGCGATAACTTTGGATAAAAGAAAATAATTTTGTACAAAATGTAGAAAAGTTTGTTCTAATTATTTAATACGTGTTTTTGCTATTTAAAGCTAGATAACGTTACGATAGCCACTCTATAAACCTTTGAATCTCTTTGTATTTTAATAATTTATATATATGTTAATTTTATCATATGTTGGACTACTCCAGTGTTTGTTTTATCCTGGAACATACTCGTAGTAAGATGCGGGTGTGAATTATGTTTAACGGTAAATTGTTAAAATGAGGAAGACCCTGAAATCGATATTAATAGTGCATCTTGATCTTAAGTTAGTGTCGAAAAACTTTTATTTTAATTAATTTTCATTGAAAAGTATAATTTTAACGATGAATTATTGTTCTCTGTAGCTTTATGGAAAATAAAATACGCTAAAAATCTTCAAAGGGGGACTAAAATCTTATTATTAATTTTGCCCTATTATTGAAAATCCTATTAAATATTTTTCTTTATTTTTGCCACGTGGTGGCAGCGTGAGCGAGTTCACTTGAAGCAGGACAATAGCAGCAACACCTCCCTGATAACAACTAAAACAGTAAAAAAAAAATGTGGAGTAGGAAAAAAGTTTACTTTGGAGAAAACGTGAAAGAGGTTATTGATTTTGGAATGTGGAGGTTTTACTAAAAAAATATATTAAAAATGCCGATGATTTATTAAATACGAATCACAATAAATTGATGCAATAAAATTAACAAACGACACAATAAATACTATTAATAAGGGAAAGTAATTAAATATTATACAAAAGATCAAAAGATTAGAAGAATTAAAGTTAAAATGAAATTTGAATAAGTACAAGAAAAGTAAATAATTTAACACATAACGTGTGTAGCGTGAATAAACTGTAGGCTCTACGTCGGCTTTGGAATGATAGCTGTGTTTAAAGTTTACATAAACAAGAATTTGCATTACAATAAATAATTAAAAACGTTATTTTAAAAATGAATATCTTCTGGTCCAGTCTTAAAATAACTTTTTGCGTACGAGGTTATATAACAATAGATTTTATTCTAAAAGAACATTATAAACTAATTATAACTGCAATGGTATATTTAGGTTCAGATTACATTAAACATCTAGACTAGATTTTGCCTTTATAGGCTTGACTATTCATATCCATCCTTATATTATAATTGTGAAAATTTCTGAAAATTTCTTTAAAAAACTTTGTTAGTTATTTGTTAAATTAAATTTTACACACTGGATAACTTCATTGAAAATTGTATGCTTTTTTTAACTTTTATAGCTATAATAAGTTTATATGTCTTTTGTATTTTTAAATAAGAATTACATTTTTTAAATTTTTGTATCAGTTATATTGGAATATTTATACTAAATCTCTCGGAAAGTAACATGTTCATCAATTATAGAATTATCAGTCATGTTATTTATTAAATATTAATTAAGTTGCAACATCATTTTTTTTACGTGGTAGAGCCATGCTGCAGTTATATTAGTAGTATAGTTGTAGCACGAATGGGTCGGCTCGACCGGGGAAGGACCACGCTCTCACAGAATACCAGCGTGAAATAGTAGCTTAATGCTGCTGTATTTCGTATGGTGAGTGTAGAGAACCGGAGACCCTTTTTACTGGAAACGAGGCATTCCATCTCAGTCCTCACGGGTGACAACGCATCTGCATTTTGATTTTTAATGGAGGATAGATGTAGATGTCTATGGGCCGCAGCAACCACTTACCATCAGGTGGACTGTGTGCTCGTTTGTCACCCTATTCTATAAAAAAAAAACATTAAATGTGGTTTAACGTATATGATTATTATGCAATATTCATTCCTGTGTAACGAAAGTATGGAGGAGTAACTAGTAAATATAAAAGGACGTCTTAGTAATTATCACATTAAAGCTCCACTTCGTTTTGCGCCATTATTCCTTATGTCACTTACCAACTTATAAAAATAAATTCCACTAATTATGTACTCATCTGGACATAAACTGGTAAAACTATTGTTGCAACTTGTTCTTTTTCTTAAAGAAAACCAGTATGTATTGACTTCATGATTTGTAAATAATGATGTTTAATATATATATATATATATATATATATATATATATATATATATATATATATATATATCAGAACCAGCATTCAAGCGTATAAAAATATTTTTTTTTCAAAAAAATTAAAAAAAAAAACTAAAAAAGTTCAAAAAGTACAAATTATAAGTGGTTCTATTATCTCTGCATTGGCCGAGGAGTATAAGAGGATTGTCAAAGACCCCGCATTACCGATACTCGTGTGAGTTAGAGGTGTATGTGCAAATATTTATTGAAATTAAATTAAAAAAAACTATGATCGAGTTTACTAAAAAAAAATATTTCTATACGCTTGAATACTGATTCTGATAACGCAGTTAATGAGGACCACAGGGTTTTTGTTACATGTTGTATATATATATATATATATATATATATATATATATATATATATATATATATATATATATATATATATATATCAGAACCAGCATTCAAGCGTATAGAAATATTTTTTTTTTCAAAAAAATTAAAAAAAAAACTAAAAAAGTTCAAAAAGTACAAATTATAAGTGGTTCTATTATCTCTGCATTGGCCGAGGAGTACTAAGAGGATTGTCAAAGACTCCGCATTACCGATACTCGTGTGAGTTAGAGGAAATAAAACCATATACAATATGCAAATATTTTTTTAAATTAAATTTAAAAAAAACTATGATCGAGTTTACTAAAAAAAAATATTTCTATACGCTTGAATACTGATTCTGATAACGCAGTTAATGAGGACCACAGGGTTTTTGTTACATGTTGTATATATATATATATATATATATATATATATATATATATATATATATATATATATATATATATATATACCATTCTATGGGTACCTCCTTATTTAGGATAAATGATGATACGAAATCAAAACATTTTGAGCTGTTTAAGCCCGATTAGTAAACGAGTGAAAAAATTATTAATGTTTGAAAATATCAAGTTTATATTTGACCAACTTACTTTTAGGTTTAGTATTTAAAAAGAACTAAAATATACCACTGCAGTGAAAGATTAAAATTAATCTCACTATCCATATGATATAAACATTTTTTTAACATTCGGTGATCATGTTCGTCCTTTACAACATAATTACAGCTACAATATTACAAGAGATCAAACACTATAATTTTCATTAAAAATTAATTCCAATATTAAATGATGAATCATCATTTAGATTAATGATGATTACAAACAATTATTAAAATTATAAAATATTACAAAATAATATCTACACAGAGCTGTCAAGAAAATCTAAAAATATGTGACAGACGAAATAACTCTTCATCCATCCACTCGATTATGTTTCGAGTGGAGAGTTTAAATATATTTACAATAAAAAAATACTTAATTTACATAGAAATAGTCTTAATGTGTTGAATAAAATTCAACCGTTCAAATAGTCAATAAATAAAATTAAAATTAAAAGACTTCCAAAATGTCACAGTTATGTTCTACCTCAATACATATTAACAATCGATTTAATTAAATCATGGCACTTTCATAAAACATCGTCCTGAAGATATTAATTTTCATTTCAGTACATTTCATGAATAATAATAATAATTTAACCTTATGGTTTCTCTAGTCATTACTTTAATTTTAGCTCAACGGTCAATAGAATCTAAGTTATTGAAAAAATAAATATACACATAATAAAAATGTTGAGTAGTTTTTGATTTGATTTATGAATTAATTATTTTATGTAAAAATAATTTATGAGAAAGAATACAATACGTTAAAATGTCAATAAGATTGTCTGCTATAATCAACTATAATATACTTAATTAGTTTTGTGTTTGCTAAAATTTACGTACTAAAATGAAAATTATTTAATGATGGATTTCCAGATTTTTATTCGAAGCTGATCCTGCGTTTCACTCCTCTTGCACCACCGAAAGCATTGTCTACGACCTCTTTTCTTCTCTTTCTCAGCATTGGAGCTTTTTCAACCTTATCGTTTTTGGGCGTTAGTTCATTATCTAATTTCATTGTCATGAAATTTTCATCGTTAGTGCCTTTCAATGCATCTTCACAGGCAAACTTTGCTTGTGTTTGCGTTTCCATCCCAATCCAGTCTGCGGAATCGTTGCCTTTAAACCACTCCCAGGTTCCTTCTAGTGCTATTTCATTTTCGAAGTCGAAGTTCCATTTATGCATCTTTTCCAACTTCTCTGTAGCAGCAGACTCTTGTAGGATGTTTGTGAAGTTGTCGATCTTGGCTTCATCGACCAGGTCTTCGGCAGGGAACAGGCATCTTCTTACCGGGTTGTTGGGCGAGATCCTATGCATGCTGGCTCTTTGGTGGTGTGAGGTAGTCTGAGGACAAGAAAAATATTGGTTAATATTTATCTTCGGTGGGCTTATAAGAGATTGTTCCCATGTTGGCGGCGGCGTGAGAGAATAAATAATTTTGTCCTCTGGATTTTGCAAAGGCGACTATGGCATATAATATTAAATCAATAATTCCATGTGGTAGAGCCACGCTGTAGCTACACTACAGTTGTAACACAAGTGTCCTCACAGGATAATTGCTTGCTGTGTTTAGTATGGTGAGCATCATAGAAATATATATCTATGGTGAGGATAGAGAACTCGATATCATTTTCACTGGAAACGAGGCATTCAACTGAAGACTTTGCATTTTGATTCTTAATTAAGTGCAGATGTAGATGTCTATTGACCATAGCATTATCTTACGTTCACTTCACGTGGACTATGTGCACGTTGATCACCCTTATAAAAATTTATATAAAAAACTGTATTTCAATATATATAGTATATACTGTAGCTCATAGATACCTACATCCATCCTTAATAAATAAAATGCAGATGCGTTGTCACCCCTGAGGGCTAAAATAATATGCCTCGTATCCATTAACAAGGGACCTTGGGATGGTTTAAGCCGAGTTCGGAAATAGATGCTGTTTTTTTCGTGTTTGAAGATTAAAATTTCTTGATTAGTACATAAATAGTCATATTGTTAACTTATAAATGCATTATACTTGTTATAGTTATTTTTAGTCTCTCTCTGTATTAAAAGGATAGAAAAAACAGACATACGAGCCTTCACCAAGTGTGACCTACAATGATAATGATGATGAGTTGAGGAATTGTTATTATTTATTTCATTGGCAAATAAATAATAAAATTACGTCTCAATTCACAAGTGTAAGAATTATATGACGCAACGGAGGTACCCATTGTAAACCAGCTCAATCGGATGTTTGGCAAACATCGTTTGCGGAGCGACCGCTGAAGGCAGAAATGACCGCGCGCGTTGACAGACGTAACCCGGTGTAAACATAGAGCTGGTACGGGATGAAGTGATGACGGAGTAATGGACTGTGAGGTGAGACAGCTTACCTATCTCTGTGGTATAGAATATGCTAATATGTTATATGGACATTTATATATACTATAAGATATGGACCGAATAAATTATGTATGATTTTTAATAATACAGAATAGAGGTATAATACACGGATTTAAAACGAAAATTGTCGTCAACAACGAAGACACGCATTTTAAATTTAATCAAGAAAAATAAAACGTCGTGTAAGCGGTGTACGAATATCCACAACCCCATATCGTTCCAAAGGTGTCGTAAGAGGCGAGAGAGGGAAACTATTGCAGAGGTTGGCACCAGCGTCTTATTAATAAACTAGAATATAAAAACTGCGGTTGCCAACCCACTGGCCAAGCGTGGCAAATATACTAACCAACCCCCTTATGAAACAATTTAAGGGGAGGCCTACGTAAATTTTGTCTTTGCAGGCTATGATTGATAGATGAATTAAATAAAAGTGATGAATTAGCGTATATTTTAATAATTTTTAACGTGTTTATTTTGTAATATTTTTATAACCAGTTAACTGATACTATACAGTTACTAAAACTTGCTTTTATGTACTCTAAGACTGTAAAATTATGTTACTAAATGTAGGGTTCTATCCTAATAAAAAAAATAATTAAGCGCAAAACTTAGTTCAGATTGGTGATCGCCGTAAAAGACTTCTTGCACCTAGATTTCTATAATATCACTAAATGTCCGCATATGTGTATATTAGCAAACAGTTTTAAAACTACTTCGTGGATCTTAAACGATTCACTGAGGAAGAATTTCCGTGTATAATCTATTCTTATTAGATGTAAGGATAGTAGAAGTTTTAGTGATTTGTGATCAAGTTTCTACTCTTCGGCCAAGGAGTTCTAGTAAAGCACAGCCTCAACGACAGCTTCTGAAGTCGGTGCTTTCATTCTTCGAAATACCGTTATTGCACCAACTTCAGAAGTTATTAACAATTTTTTTTATTCGTCTAAGTATTTTAAGTTGATTTTACCATTCCTTAATTAATCCTTTTGACACTACTCAATGATATCGTAACCACCCATTGTATTAATTACAATGTCGTCGTAAATAACCTCATTGAATATTATTTTATGATTACATTTTTCAAAGTTAAATGATGCATTAAATCGATTGACAACTGGCGAAAATATCGAAATGTCGTGTAAGATCAGAATCGAGAACCTTCTTTGAAGTCAAAATGGCTAAAACATAATTTAAAACTTCTTGAATAAAAAAATTACGGGTTTTATCGCGTTTAACTTACTTATTTTTAATTCCCGACGTTTCGGGTACTGTAAAGCAAAGCATTGTCACCGGGGGGGGGGGGGGGGGGGGCTGAAATGTACGACGTACCAATGTCATAGTTAGCCCGGCTATCTTCTTTTCTGATATTAAGTAAATTAAATACGATAAAATCCTTAAAAATTGTTTCATTAAATGTGTAGCACTCACGTAAATATTATAAGAAATCATTATATAAAAAGTAAAAACTACTTGCAAAATGTAAAGCTTACATTAAAATTGTCATCAATATGACAACCCTACTGCAAGCGGAAATGAATCAACTATGTAGGTACGTGTTTGTGAATGAATTCCAAAATTAGAATACGAACAGCATTACGAATTTGTAGCGATGAGATTAACGACTTATTGGCATAATAGGTACGATACGCAATTTTCTAAACACAAACGGCCTTATTACAAAAATTTCTATGTAATCAGTCTAAACTAGGAATCAGTTCAGTTTCGTTTCACAAAAACAGTCCTGCTAGAATTTTTTTAGTCTTAATAAGTCAGTGCTGGACTAAAATCACACCTGGTGGTAAGTGTTGATGAAGTCCTAAATGGTAAATCGCATTATTTTAGCATAAAAAACGCGTATTCACTCTTTCCTTGAACACCCAGTTAGTAATCGGACAGAAAGATGCCGGCAAATTATTCCACTGCTTTTTAAAATGTAAAATTTGACAGCAAATGTCAAATTTTGCGAAGAATGTGGCACCACAGTTATGGTAACAAGACTTTTTTAGTCAGAGGGACTCTTCCGGTATTTTGATAATAAATATTATTTGGGTTAGCTATCTCTAAACAAATAATAACAAAAGCTATATATTAGAATAACACTAACACTTATTTGTAATAATTCTTATGACAAAAATAAAATAGGAATTCACATTGTTTTATAGTTATATTTAATAAAACTTATGAAGTTTTAATAATACGCAATGTACAAAGTATGCTAAACAGATCTATTCGTGAAGATACATAATAAAAGTAAAAAGGTAGATTATTTATTTACTTGAATAATAACTTGCATTTCACTTGCTTATGTCCTTATTAATTTAATTATTTACTTGATTATTTACTTTACCACTCCCTAGTCTGCCTGCCCTTGCCTTGTTATTTTACAACTGTACTTGTAATATGTAACTAGCACTTAATACCTTTTCTTATCACGTTTACTGTTACTTGTACATATATCTTACACTTATGACTACTTAGTACGTAGTAGTAGTTTGGACATGAACTTATTACTGGTACGTGTTAATATCTATTGTTAGTAGTAGTTCATGTGCGCCGGTAATCACTTACCATCAGGTGAGCCGTACGCTCTTTAGCTCCCTCTCCTATTAAAAACAAAAACAAAAACACTGATTCTGAAAAATAACCTTTGTCCTGGGAAGAGACCCAGCGGGACTTTTTTTTAAAAGTAAACTATATCTACAAATTATTCACAAAATTAATTTTAGCAAGAGCTTGGAAGCTACCACCTCATTTCCATGGGTTATTATCAACCATGTAATAATTTATATTATAATAATCCTTTTTATACAGTTTTTGTTTATTCAAATATTTAAACTAGGTAATGGAGAGACCTTGTATAATTTCAGACCGTTTTTTTTTTGATTTCTCAAAAAAATTCTCAGAGATCACTCCTGGCATTGCTGTCACCTGTTCGCGAAGTTTCATCAAAACTCACAATTCCGGTAATCTGCCTGGTCAGAAAGACAGGCAAAGAAAAAACTCTTAATTCATGTCTTAATGGCATGCAAATAATATCCTCTAGACCGAATTTCGGTCACAGCGGCCTGCCTCAGCGGAGACAAACCATCGGCGCTGGACAGGATTATAGTGCCCAAGTATATGCACAAGCACAGGTGCACTCTCTATTCCCTCACTCTCATAATCCGATGGGATGGCAAACCGACATACCGGAGAGAGATCAGGCGCAGGACTAAAGGCTTTATGTGCTTTCCGATGCACGGGGGTGAGCCACCGCCAACTCTCTGACTCCGGGCAGCTACTGAGAATTCCTTGACAGAAAAACTCAATAATTGATTTTTTGGCCCGACCCGGGATTCGAACCCAGGACCTCATGATCAGCAGTCGCACTACTACAACCACTAGACCAACGAGGCACTGGCATGCAAAAATAACCCATCAGCTAATTGAATACAGTTGTTTCGAATTATCGAAACAACTGTATTCAATATAATAGAATAGAAGTGTCCGTTTTATAATATATATATATATACAATACAATAAAATAGAAGTGTCACACACACTTCTATTTTATTTTTATATGTATAGATTTTTGATACTATAAAGTGACTAAACAAATCGGATAAGAAATAGAAAGAATATCCAAATGATACGCACGCGGTGTATATGTTACAGTCAAAGCCCATAACCGGTCAAAATCAATTTGACTGTGAAAATCAGGCAAAAATGGTTTCGACCAAGAACTTTAGTCAAAAACACTTTTGACTGCTTTTCGTAGTCAAAAGAAGTTTTGACCAGTTATGAGTTTTATATAATTATAATGTACGCGACTTTATAATGTGCCAGTCGCACCCTTACCTACTGTCACTGATAATCCAAGTTTTGTGTAATGTTTTATTAGACGCAAATAGTCTTATCACACGAGTATTTATGAGCC